TGTCATAGAGTGTGCTGCCTATGTTTTCCTCTAAGAGTTTGATAGTTTCTGGCCTTACATTTAGGTCTTTAATCCATTTTGAGCTTATTTTTGTGTATGGTGTTAGGGAGGGTTCTAATCTCACACTTTTACATGTACCTGTCCAGTTTTCCCAGCACCACTTATTGAAGAGGCTGTCCTTTCTCCACTGTACATTCCTGCCTCCTTTATCAAAGATAAGGTGACCATATGTGCGTTGGTTTATCTCTGGGCTTTCTATCCTATTCCATTGATCTATATGGATCTGTTTTTGTGCCAGTACCATACTGTCTTGGTTACTGTAGCTTTGTAGTATAGTCTGAAGTCAGGGAACCTGGCAGGTGGATTCTTAACCACTGTGCCACCAGGGAAGCCCCAGTATGTTTGTTCTTTACACAGAAATATTTTAGGAAGATACTGAATGTTGTAAACAAAATTTTTAAAAATATTTATTTATTTATTTGGTTGCACTGAGTCTTAGTTGCATCATGTGGGATCTTCGTCATGACATGTGGGATCTTTAGTTGTGGCATGTGGGATCTAGTTCCCTGACCAGGAATCGAACCTGGGCCCCCTGCATTGGGAGCGTGGAGTCTTAACCACTGGACCACCAGGGAAGTCCTGAATGTTGCAAAAATTTATATAGATTTTTAATAGAAAAGAAAAAAAGTATAGAACTTAAGGAATCAACCAATATATCTTTCACGATGTTTAAAAGTTTCTTCTTTCTTAAAGTGCTTTGATATATTTGTTTCTCAAAACAGCCCTGTGAAGTAGGGAAGATGTTATTATCACTCCTTTTTTTTCAGATGTAAAATGGAGATGCAGAGATATTAAATGACTTGCCTCTAGTTGTAAAGCAAACTCCTGGTATTTCTGGGTCCAGATCCCATGTCTCTCAACTTCTTGTCGTATTTCAACTGTACTGGCTTTGGCAGTGGAAGGAGCTTTAGAGTCAGGCATACCTGAGTGGACACTATGTGATCTTGGTCTTGGACAGTTTTTGTTTTTTTTTTAAAGCATTGCCGAGTCCATCTCCTCATCTATTTATTTAAGATAATAATATTAGCCAATGAGGATTGACTAAGAGGCACATATTTCATGTGTGATAAATATTTGTTCTTCTTTCAGCCTTGAGAGTGGAGGTCAGAAGTTATTGCAGTAATCCAGCACAGAATAAGCAAATAATATTTTCTTGAACTGGATTAAGCCAAATCAATCAGTCACTTAGAAACACAGGATGGAATAAATTTTCCCAAAGTACAGGCCATTTAAGAATCCTCAAATACTGAATATCATTTATGAGTATGTAGCAGAGCAACATTTATGAGTATATAGCAACATGTATGAGTATATAGCAGAGTGGTTTGTTTAGAGTCGTCTCTTGTAAGATGGAAGTAGAACATGTGTTCATCCAGCAAATATTTATCGAATGTTTACTGTGTTCTAAGCACTGGGGATACAGTGATGAAATGGTGCCTAATTTAAGGAAATGGAAGACAAATAAATGGCTAATTTGATCAGAGGGCTTCTGTAAAGTTGTGACCAAGGTGCTATGGAGGAGAATAGAGTGGAGCATCTGATTTACCCTGAGGGACTCAGGAAAAGCTTCTTAGCAGAAATGTCACTTCGGCAAAGTCTTAAAGGTATGTTAATCCAGTGGGAGCAAGGCTGTATAGTATTTGAGGCAGAGGGAAAGGCATATACAAAGGCACTACCTATGGTGCATGAGTTTATATGACAGGAGATGGGCTGGAGAGGTAAGCCCTGTCTCTCAAAGAGTCAGAAGGTTAAAGGAAGTTAAAACTATAGGGAGCCATTAAAAGATGATGAATGGAGAAGTACAAGGTTAAATTAATGTTTTGGTAAAAAGACCACCTCCTGGCAATATATCAAGGTTTAAATAGATGTACTAATTAAGGTACTTTTGAATACAAGGAAAAAAACATTTTTGAGGCAGCCTAATTTAAAGGAGGAATAATTTATTATGAGTACAGAGAGGTCTTTCAGGGATCTTATGGCACCTGGACTTCAAGAACTGAGTGGAGAGCTGAACAGGAACTCCTGTCTCTTGCTTTTGCTTTGGCCTTTCTGCCTCATTTTTTCTTCCCTTTCTGTAGATTGGTTTTCTGTGCTTTTTTGCCTATGTGGTTAAATATTACCTTCCTACAGTTGCCTAATATTGCAGTTTCAGCCATACTCCAAGACTCTGCAGATGTCTTTAAATCTAGTTCAATTTTCAAGTGAAGAGAGAACCTCATTGCCCACGATGGGTTAGGTATCTCCTGTCCTGATCCAGTCAGATGTGGCTACTGTACCTTGACTGTCAGGCTCCAGTCCCTGTGTGTGTGTGAATTTGGAAGGTGGTGTAGGAAGGGACATTCTGAGACATGGGGACGGTTGTGAGCTAGGCGGATACCACAGAAAATTTCTTACAGAGGGTAAGAATAGAAACAAAGGCTAGCACTGAAATCTAGGCACTAAATGTTGAGGGCCTGAGCTAAGGTTAGTTAGGGGCAGTATGGAAAGAGAGGAGGAAGTAAAGTTAAGAGGTATTTAGAAAATCAGACACACTTTGGTGCCTTATGAAAGGTAGGAGATTTGAGAGAAGGAAGGAGTCTGCATTTCAGATTTGTATTACTGGGAATTTGGAAAAGAAACATTGAGGAGGATTGAGTTTTAGGGCAGAGATGCTGAGTTTGGTTTGGACACAGTGTATTTGTGGTCCCCACGGGATATTAAGTGTTGATGTTCAGTAAACACTTGAATGTAGGGTTTGGATTTCAGGAGTGAGATTTCTGTTGAGATTTGGGAGTCATCTTGGGTTGGCAATTGAAACTATGAACTGGATAAAGTCACCTAGAATGAGAAGAGTAGAAAGATAAGAATGGAATCTGAGGACCACCTCAGTATATATGGAAGGCGTGGAAGAAGAGTTTTTCAAGTGACTAATTTGTGACGTTGGACAAGAGGGGATTATGGAATATAACACTGTAGAAGAATGTGTGTTTAGCATGTGCTCAAGCCTTAAAAGACAAGATAAAGTCTATGGCTTAGTAATTAATAGAAATGTGTGTTGGGTACTGTGTTCTCTTACTTGATCCTCACAGCCATCCAACTGCTTATTATCTCCACTTTACAGGTCAGGCAACTTAGACACAGAGAAGTTAAGTAACTTGCTCACAGTTTTACAGCTGTAGGTGGCAGAATCAGGATTTGAACTCCTGCAAATCCAGCTTTTAAGAGTCTACTCTTAACCACTGTTCTTGATGCCTGCCTTCAAAGGAAATGGAAGGAGATTCTAATTTAGCTAGTTAGTATAGTTTATGTTACTAAAATGATTATAGTAATGGAGGGCAAACTTATTTTATTTTTGATTGTGGTAAAATGCACATAAAATAAAATTTACCATCTTATTAACCTTTTTTAAAGTATACAGTTCAGTAGTATATTCATATTGTTGTGCACCCAACCTCCAGAACTTTTTGTTTTGCAAAACTGAAACTCTATACCCAATAAACTCCCCATTTTCCCTTCCCCCCAGCCTCTGACAACATCATTATACTTCGTGTCTCTATAAGGTACTGTAAGTACCTCATATAAGTGGAATCATACAGTATATCTATTTTTGTGACTGGCGTATTTCACTTAGCATAATGTCTTGAAGGTTCATCCATATTGCAGCATGTGTCAGAAATTCCTTCCTTTTTATGGAAGCCATATGTTTATTTATTAGAACAACTTTCTTTAGACATTTATTCCCATGTTGAGGAAGATCTTTTTCTCATATCGGTTTTGGAAAAAACTGTTTCAGGGATGGGGACATATTGCACATCTTTATAACTCTATACTGGTATTTGAGTGTTTTGGGTAAAACTTTTTAACAGGAGGAAACTTTACTAAAAACTTATAGAAGCATTAAAAACAAATAATACCTTTTAATTTTTCTTGTCTGTTTGAGAAGGACAACTGTGTTGTACTTTTTCCCTGTAGTGATAGCGTGACCCATGGGAGTCACAGATTTAAAATACAGTTTTTATAATATTCACAAGGATACCAAAGGTCTTTGATGTATACTGTACTAAGCTTTCCTACAGAAACTGTGTTCACCACTGATATGGGGAGCATCTCACCCAACTAGGTAAGCCTTTTAACTGCACCTCAGTTTAGGGCTGTAGTCAGAGCATCTTACCGTTTTGAATATAACAGCGGAGGTCAGGCTAGCTTTTCAGTTCACTACTTGTTAACTTTAGGAAGGTACTTAAGTTTTTTAAACTTGAATTTCCCTATTTATAAAATGGAATATTCAGTTTCTACCCCATTGGGTTCTCTTAGGATTAAATTAAATCTGAATAAAGTGCTTATGAGCACAGTGACCGGCACATAGTAAGTGCTCGGTGAATGTTAGCTGTAATTATTGTTCTTGTTACTATCGTCATGTTTGGTATGCAAGCATTTGAAGATTCCCAAATGGCCTACTGTAAAGGGAAATCTATTCCGTCCCTTGTTCTGGGCTAGATGCTTCAGAGGATTCAAGATTGAGGAGTATACAGTTTCTCCCTTTAAGTACCTTACATTTAAAATGGAATAATTTTATCTACAGTGGGTTTTTAAGGCTATAACTTCTAAAATTGTACTTTTTTTTTTTTTTTTTTTTGCGGTACGCGGGCCTCTCACTGTTGTGGCCTTTCCCGTTGCGGAGCACAGGCTCCGGACGTGCAGGCTCAGCGGCCATGGGTCACAGGCCTAGCCGCTCCGCGGCATGTGGGATCTTCCCAGACCTGGGCACAAACGCGTGTCCCCTGCATCAGCAGGTGGACTCTCAACCACTGCGCCACCAGGGAAGCCCTTAAAATTGTACTTTTTTATTAGAAAGTATAGGGGAATAAATCAAGGTGAAAGTGTGGTTTTCGCATTTTAAAACCTTCTTTGAATTCGGTAAAGGATTCTTTGATTTGTGGATTTTGTTTGTTTATTTCCAGCCAGCACCTAACCAAGTCACTTTTCATCTGCCACTACATCGTTATTATGCTATGTTTTTGAGTAAGGTAAGAGTGTCATTAAACAACTCTGTTTGTTTTTTGAATATTGGGAATTATGTATTGAATTAGTAACATTTTTTATTATAATTTTTAGGCTGTGAAATGTCAAGAACTAGATTTGGATTCTGTTTTACCAGATCAGGAAATGTTAATGAAACTAATGATTCATCCACTCCAAATTCAGGTATGTTTTCAGGCTTTTAAAAGGTTTTGAATTCCTTGGTTAAGTGATTCTTCCTTTATTTTATTTGTATGCCTTTATCATTGTTATTATAGCCAAAATGTTTGAAATTTAAAAAAAAATTTAGTTTTTGTATTTTTGCCAGATATTTTGTTTTTTTTTGTTTTTTTTTTTTAAATGAGATTTACATTTAGTTATAATTTCCCCAGGAATTCTTTTCACTATATTTACTTATGGGGGTGTTTAACATACTACAGCACTGTTTTGGGAGTCAGGAGACCCAGCAAATTCTAGCCTTGGTGCCACCACTATTTTATTATCTATGTTGTTTGGAGTGATTTACCTACTTGATTCTTAGTTTCCCCATCTATAAAGTGAGAGGAGAGAAAAGAGAGAAGAATTAGCCTACATATGCACTGTGGTTTCTTTCATTTCTAACACTGTGATTTTGTGGACCACCTTTTATATACATTAGAGGGATTTGCACTTCAGTTTATTTTTCCTGGAAATTTTAGATTTGTTAACCATTATTGAACTTTACCTCTGGGAGTTAGGAACAAATAAGAGATGAAGTTATGACTGTGCTTAGTTTTAGTTGATACAGGACATAAATACATGAAGAATTAAATATTAATATAGTAAGAAAATTTATTCTAATCTGATCTGCTCTTGCCAGATTTTAGAAAATGACTAGATCGAAGGTTGAGTTAGGGTGAATTAAAGACATAGATTATATTCATTGATGTTGAACAGTGAACAGTTAGCTTGTTCGATGCTTATTCCTGTGTTTCTTTAAGCATTATGTATGTTCTTTTTTTTTTTTTGAGGAGGAAAAAGTTAAATGTAATCGTCAGTGATTCCTCATTAAAGATTTCAGTGCATATTGTTATAAATGTATCCAGGAGTCATCATGGAAAACTAACTCATGTATAAACTACAGAAGAAGGGACTGTATAAAATATAATGATCATCATAAAATTTAAAATTATATATTTGAATTGAATATCTTAAACATTGGACAGAATGTCAGGCTTATGCTATGATTAAGTTATAAAATATTTTGAAATGTTTGTTTATTGTAACATGATTTTATAAAGGTTGACTTTAGATGACTTCTTTATCCAATTTACTTAATTTTTGTTTTACTAGGCAAGTCTTGCCGAAATCCATAGCAATATGTGGGTAAGAAATGGTCTGCAAATCAAAGGACAAGCCATGACCTATGTCCAGTCTCATTTCTGTAATTCCATGATTGATCCTGACATTTACCTATTACAGGTAAGCCAACTTGATGATGCAGATGTTGTACTTTAGAAGTATCTCATTTGTACCTGTGGGATTTTAATTTATAGAGGTGACTAAATGATGACATGGAGAGGTCAGTGCTATTGAAAGAAGAATTTTATTACTTATAATTTCCAAAGGAAGGGGGCATGTCACACTACGCAGGACCAGAGGGGAAGCGTTAGATTTTGGTCAGGAGGCAGAAGGAGGAGTGAGGGGAAATCCTAGACCAGAAGCTTTATTGGGGTTTCCATAGGAATGGCAAGGCAGGGCAGGGGAAGTCGTTTAGGATTGGCTAGTTTGAATAATCTTGGTGGGCTCTGGGGCATAAAGGCTATCTGGTACCTGCCCTGGGCAGGGGGCCAGGGGGAATATTGGCTTGGTATGTGAGTTAAATAAAGGGCATGAGGGACTTGCATATTAGGGACCTGCTCCCAGGTAAGCTGTTTACTATCTTTTGGAATTAGCTAGCCTTTAGAAGGGTAGTTTCTCTCCTGGTCTTTAGGGCCCCCCTAGATGCCAGAACATCAGAAGATACAGAAAATAAAAAACACAAGAAGTAAAACTGGGGAAATCCCTGGCAGTCCAGTGGTTAAGACTTGGTGCTTTCCCTGCTGTGGCCTGGGTTCAATCCCTGGTTGGGGGACTGAGATCCTGCAAGCCACGTGGCGTGGCTGGAAAAAGAAAAAAAGAAGTAAAACTGAATATTGAGAAATAAAGATTGTGGGTTTTATTTTTTGTCTTTTAAAGGTTTGTGCATCTAGACTTGATCCAGATTATTTTATTTCATCTGTCTTTGAAAGGTAAGCATAATTTTATTAAGACAGGTATTAGGAAGTATTTGGAATTTAAACTAATTTTAACTTTAAAAAATCTGTCTCAAATATTTTTTTAATAGATTTAAGGTAGTGGATTTGTTGACAATGGCTTCACAACATCAAAACACAGTACTTGATGCAGAGCATGAGAGATCCATGTTAGAAGGCGCTCTTACATTTCTTGTGATTCTTTTGAGTCTCCGTTTACATTTAGGTAAAAAGCACTAATACAAATACTTGCGTATTAACTATTAACCTCCCTTTCCTCCCTTCTCCTTGTGGTAGTAACTGGCTTATGGAAAAAAAGGAAAGGATGTATTACCGTTGACACTCCTTTTAGAATATCCTTTAAAAAACCTCTTAAGGGAACTGCAAATATCAGGGTAGTTAAACTGCAGTTATATTGGGGCATTGTATTCTTTGCTCTTTAATTTTGTAAGCATCTCATTTTTGGTATTTACACTTAATAAATTGTGTGGTAAGTTGTTTCTTTATAAAATATAGATATTCAGATTTATTAATTCTATTTTTAATTTTAGGAATGTCTGATGATGAGATTCTCAGAGCAGAGATGGTAGCCCAGCTGTGTATGAATGACAGAACACATAGTTCATTGCTGGACCTCATATCCTTTTAAAAGTTTAATTTTCTGTTAGTTGCAGGATCTAAGTTGTAAGTAATATTCATGGATTAGAAATATATCACTTTTTGATTAAAATGGTTTTTTTTTGAAGTTGACAAATAATATGGAGAAAAACTCCAGTTCAATTCTGTGTTCAAGACCACTGGTAGATTTTTTTGCCTCTGTCGTCTCTCAGGGTACTTTTTTTTTTTTTTTCCGGTACGCGGGCCTCTCCCTGTTGAGGCCTCTCCTGTTGCGGAGCACAGGCTCCGGACACGTAGGCTCAATGGCCATGGCTCACGGGCCCAGCCACTCCACGGCATGTGGGATCTTCCCAGACTGGGGCACGAACCTGTGTCCCCTGCATCGGCAGGCGGACTCTCAACCACTGCGCCACCAGGGAAGCCCTCAGGGTACTCTTATTAGACCTTGGTTAGGCATCAGGACTGGTGGCTCTGGGCACCCCAGGATCTGACCTTTAAGGACAGCAATAGTGAAAGGGAGCTTGACACTTGGTGAAAGGCAGCTAGGTCTACTTTATCTCTATAGCCAGGCTGGAATTCATGGTTAAAATTTAGAGGTATATCTTATCATTATTATTACCAGAGCTTTAAACATTCTGGGATTTTTTTCTTAGAATTCAGTTTTAAACTAAGAGGTTTTTAAGGGCAAAGACTGTTGTCTACAAACTTTAAAAACTTATGGTTCTCTGTATAGACTGAGCATACAATGGACACTTTATTATTTTTTGATTTATTGTTTATAAAATTTTAGACAAAGATCATGTTATTTTGCGATAAAATTTATTTGTGAATTTTTGGCTAAATTTAATTTGTACATTATGATTATGTTTGAAATAATTGGCTAAATTTTGTGAAATAGCTCCTATTAGAAATGCCTATTTGATAACCTTGAAGATTTTCTTAAGCAGCCAACAGTTTGATACTGTTTGATGATTTCATTCAGCCATTATATACTGTATATTAGTGCTGCAAAAGAGCAAAAGCATTCTCTGTAACTTTGAATTTAGAAGAATTATGTAGCTTTAATGTGAAACCAAGAGGAAAGAATCTTTGTGGTTTTCTTATTTTTATAAAATTTGCTTAGTATCTTTTTCCTTATTATTTTGAGGGTGACATTTTGTGTTTTTGGAAAAATAATCTTTGCTCATAAAAGTCTGGGCTGATTTTTAGTATACTGTGTTTGATTTTCTAAGGGAAATTACAACTTTATTTGCAAAAGGATGAAAATGGAGATTAATTTTAAAAGTTTTTTTTTTCATTTCCTGAAACTGTATTAATTTGTTTTGGGGGAAATATACTTCAGAGCTACTTCAGCATGTAATTTATTAGTAGGCTTCTAGATTAAGGTATCTTAATTCACAGTTAATAAAGTTATTATTGAACTGTTGTATTATATAGCCCTCTTGTGGCCGACTTTATGTATTACAGCCAATTACTCTGCATATTTTAGCAAAGGAAGTTAGAAACTAGAATACCTTGGTAAGATTAAGTATGCGACTTTTAGTTATTAATTTTTTTCTTGACACATACATCATATTCCAGAAAATCCAAATCCCAAAAGTGGCATTATTCCAGGAAGTTATAGCTTTGAATCAGTTTTATCAGCTGTAGCTGATTTTAAGGCTCCTGTTTTTGAACCTGGAGGTTCTATGCAACAAGGCATGTATACTCCTAAAGGTATGTTTATATACATAAATGTGTTTTTTCAAATATCAGTTTTCTGAAGGTTCATTGTGTATACTGAAACAAAATGTTTGCCTTATATTTGTTCAGCTTTGGTTTTTCCCCTCAACTTTCTTATAGATGTATGTTTGTCTTTTATGGTGTACAGTGATACTGGTTCCATTTATTTACAAACCTGTGGTTTATATTACAATAAGACTTCTTAGATGACTCTAAATTATAAAAGTAACTTTATATATGAACTCCAGTTTATTTTTGTAAGTGAATGAACTGTAAATGAACCAGAAATTATGAAGCAAAATATATACTACAAACATTCTGAATGTATTTGCCCTTTAAATTTGATTTTGAAATAGTTCTCACTACCCAAATTTTAACTTGAAACAGTTAAAATCTATGTGGAATACTGATAACATTCTCATACATTTTGAACCTGTATAAATACATAGAAACCTTTTCTGTAAGTGGTTAGTTTTCTAAAGTTTTCCCCCTGGATTTGTAGATGACATGCTTGACAAAAGCCAGAAGTAGGTGGAATCCTGATTCATGGTCTTTTCTTCTTCTCTTTCACATTTTCATTAATCTAAGTTAAAATTCTGAAAGAAGTAGCAGTTGCATGCTTCTTGCCCCTCTCAGCACTCATTGTCTAAGTGAAAAACTGATGCCCACTTTGTAGTTGTAAATAGCATGTACCATGTTTGGTAAAACTCACCAAAATAAACCTTATCATGTGTGATTTTTCAGAGAGTTCACAAAGGTAGCAAGAACAATCCAGAGTCTCTGGTTGAAATGTATTCCATTAAAGAAAATACACAGTATTTCTTTATTGTAGAGAACACTTTGTATCTAAAATTTAGGTGAGCTTAGAAGTAGAGTGATGTTCTTGTATAATGCAGTGCTTATTAATAAAGTGTGATGTGAGCATAATCTGTGTCACTCATTCGCGGTCCTTATTAAAATACAGGTTCCTACGCCTCAACCCCAATCTGCTCTTATCCAGATCTCTGGGGATTAATTCTGGAAATCTGCTTTTTTACTAAGCTCTAAAGGATGATTGTCACGCACAATAAAGTTTGAGACACTGAGACAGAGCACTGGACATTGGAAGATTAGAATCAAGAAATTGGGTGTCATATTCAGATGCAGTACTGAGTTGTATTAGCCAGTTGTGCGATATTGAGAAAGTCAGTGTTTTATCTTTGGATTTAACTTCTTATTTGTAAAATGAGTGAGTTGGAATAGATGAGTGTTTTTTAAAAAAGTGTTTAAGATAAGCCTTCAGTTTGGGGGAACTAAGCCTTAAGTGAATCTGTTATACAAAAGCAATAAAAGCAAACCTACTCTTGTTAAAGTGAGTGTGGTTAGTGGACATAGCTTCTCATCTGTTTTACCATCTCCTTGCTCCTAAAGTGGCCCCTGGTAAATCTCTGTTGAAATCCAACTTCTTGGAACACTGAAGCCTCCTGGACCAGTTAGTTAATCACTGAAGTTTTCTTCCATTTCAATGGTTTTATAATTCTGACAAAAACAGATAATAGAATTAATAACAAAGGTTCTATGTCTTTTTGAAGGCCTATCTTAAGGATCTTAAATCATACTTATGATAATTTAAGATGGCCTGTTACATGAAATAGGGACAGTTGTTAACATTTTTTTTTATGCCAGAAAGTTGAAATTATAGTAGATGTGTAGAGAGATGCTTAATGTTCAAATGTTAAGAAATGTTAAGAATTCTCATCCTAAGCATGATTATTAGTGAGATCACAGGTTTTATTTGCAATGTGCAATTTTCTAGTACACGTTAATGTAATTATATAGCTATTAACATAAGCTTTGTGCACTTAATACTTAAAATCATCTTGTGTACCACCAATTGTACATATACCACACATGGGATAATGGTTCCTAATTGTGGAGAAGGTAAGGAGATCAATTATAGCAAAAGAACAAATCTTTTATAAACCAAAAAGTGTTTATAAACTAAGCTCTTGAAAATCAATGGCTCATTAATTTTTTAATCTAGCTTTCACATTTTTATCTTCGAATACTTTCAAAAATGTTAATGCATTGTGTTTCTTACTTTCTCATTGGCACTTTACAAAAAAAAGTGAGCTAAACTTTTATGGTGAGGCGTTATCACATTATAAAACTTCTTGCTCACTAGTTCTTGCTGAACTTAAGAGAACATTATAGTGACGAAATAATGATTTTTGATTTAGAAAAGTGGTCATTGCATCAAGCTTATTAAGGCAAATATATAATCAAATTAAACTTTCCCATTTTTTAAATATAAGATATACTTAAATGTAATTCGTCATTAGAGATCGACTTTATTCCTAAGAAGTCAGTGTTTTGTTTCTACTCTCTTTTGAATAATAGCTGAAGTCTGGGATCATGAGTTTGACCCCGTCATGGTCATTCTTCGAACAGTTTACCGTAGAGACGTGCAGTCTGCAATGGACAGATACACAGCATTGTAAGTACGTTATGTTAGTCAGTAAAATAATGGATATCTTGTGTTTATAGAGAAAAATTTCAGTTATAACACAAATGTGATATGCTCTCATTAAAATATACTCAATCTTTAGAGGAGAAAATATTTTAAGATTAAAAAAATAATCTGGCTGAGATTTATGTTCTCAAGATCTTGATCCAAAAACCTGACATTAATCTGATAAAAATAAATTTTATAAAACATCACAAATAAATGTAAAAAAATAACAAACTTATTTAGTTGCTCTTTGACCAGGAGAATTCAAAGCTTGGTTTTGTGTTGTTCTACTTTTAAAGCAGTAGAGGAGGCACAACTTAAGAGACTAAAATTGTCTGATATCAGAGATGATGGGTAGGTACAAAAAATGTGGTAATATTGCTGTGTTCTTGACAATTGGGAAAACAGCCAAAGTAAAATGAATTTTATTTGTAAATATTTAACAAAGTAGTTAAAATGTTGATAATTGCCGAAAAATTTTGAAGGATATCTTTTTAATGGAGAATTCAGTTTTATATATTATTGTCGTAGACTATTTTTTAATGTATTATTTCCTCCTGTTTTTAAACATTAAATAGTTAATCTATTGCTGAACATTATAGGATATTGCCTTTTATTTGTGCTCAGTTTATTTGTGCTTAGTTAAACATTTTGAAAACAAGTTTAAGATGATATAAATGTCTTTGGTCTTGAGAAAATATTTGTTCATATAACCATCAAAGTGTAAATACAGATATTGGGTGTAATTGAAACTTCTTTTTGCCAAGACTTTGCAGTAATGGATATATGCTGAATTTAAGAACCATCATAGATACCTCTGAAGAAAGTTTATAAACTTTATAGAAGTTTAGCATATTCTCCCCTCCCCTCACCCCACCCCAAGAAAGACAAAAACGAAAAACAAAACTTAGTTCAGCATCTCTCTCTACCTTTCTCTAAAACCCGTGGGAACATAGTCTGAGATTCTCCTTTCTCTGCTTTCTTAGCAACCTCTTTTTATGCTTTTCGTGTAGCTTTGTAACTATTTGTTTGCTTTGTAGGTTTTTACTAGACTCTTAGTTCCTTGAGGGAAGGTATTTTTGTCTCTGTGTCTCTTTTATATCTTCAGAATCTATATCAGTGCTGGCATATAAAAAGGCATTCAGCATATATTTGTTGAGTAAATAAATTTGAGTAGTTCATGCTGAAAAATGAAAACCATATCTGTAGAGCTATTTTTATTAAATTTTCCTCTTTCCTGTTTTGCTATTTTTTCTCATAATCTCATTCTCCTCATTTGGCTTTTGAGTTCCTGTACAATGTCTGTATAGTTTCTTAGAAATATGTCTGAATTGCTGTGATGTTTTTTGGCAGTTTAAAAATCTTTGTTTAAAGAAATGTGTATTTAAATAAGAGAATAATAACAGATAACAAATACACTTTAACTTCAGATTAAAATCATTTTCTTATAAATTAATCTCTGAAATTTTATATGCAATATTATATTAATATATTTTTTATATTTAAGATAAATATATCCGTGAAGAATGTGTTTGTTTCTATGTACAACTTAAATTTTTTTGAAATTTATTTTGTATATGAAATATAACATCTTTTTCCTTTATGTGATATCACTTATATGAGTGTATAATTGACCATTTGAGTTCTTAATATAACACAACTGGGAAATAAGCCTAAAGTGTAGGGCTTATTGGCTATTGGTCATTTGCATTTTCTTTTAGTTTTAAGGAACAGAAGTGGCAAAACTGATTTACTTAGTGTGATCCTTTTTTATTTCAAGAAGGTAATAGAAAGGCGTTTTGAAAAATTATAGAGAAAAATAATTAGGTAAATTAAAGCTATTGTGTCTTTATTTTTAGCATTAAAAAAATCTTTACTTATTTATTTTTTAACATCTTTATTGGAGTATAATTGCTTTACAATGGTGTGTTTCTGCTTTATAACAAAGTGAATCAGCTATACATATACATATATCCCCATATCCACTCCCTCTTGCGTCTCCCTCCCACCCTCCCTATCCCAACCCTCTAGGTGGACACAAAGCACCGAGCTGATCTCCCTGTGCTATGTGGCTGCTTCCTACTAGCTATCTGTTTTACATTTGGTAGTGTATGTATGTCCATGCCACCCTCTCACTTTGTCCCAGCTTACCCTTCCCCCTCCCTGTGTCCTCAGGTCCATTCTCTACCTCTGCGCCTTTATTCCTGTCCTCCCCCTAGGTTCTTCAAAACCATTTTGTTTTCTTGTTTTGTTTTTTAGATTCCATATATATGTGTTAGCAAACGGTATTTGTTTTTCTCTTTCTGACTTACTTCACTCTGTATGACAGATTCTAGGTCCATCCACCTCAGTACAGATAACTCAATTTCGTTTCTTTTTATGGCTGAGTAATATTCCATTGTATATATGTGCCACGTCTTTTTTACCCATTCATCTGTCGATGGACACTTAGGTTGCTTCCGTGTCCTGGCTATTGTAAATAGAGCTGCGGTGAACATTGTGGTACATGACTCTTTGAATTATGGTTTTCTCAGGGTATATGCCCAGTAGTGGGATTGCTGGGTCGTATGGTAGTTCTATTTTTAGTTTTGTTTTTTGTTTTTTTTGCTGTACGCGGACCTCTCACTGTTGTGGCCTCTCCCGTTGCGGAGCACAGGCTCCGGATGCGCAGGGTCAGTGGCCATGACTCACGGGCCCAGCCGCTCCACGGCATGTGGGATCTTCCCAGACCGGGGCACAAACCCGTGTCCCCTGCATCAGCAGGCAGAATCTCAACCACTGCGCCACCAGGGAAGCCCTATTTTTAGTATTTTAAGGACCCTCCATACTGTTCTCCACAGTGGCTGTATCAATTTACATTCCCACCAACAGTGCAAGAGGGTTCCCTTTTCTCCACACCCACTCCAGCATTTATTGTTTGTAGACTTATTGATGATGGCCATTCTGACTGGTTTGAGGTGATACCTCATTGTAGTTTTGATTTGCATTTCTCTAATGATTAGTGAGGTTGAGCATCCTTTCATGTATTTGTTGGCAGTCTGTATATCTTCTTGGGAGAAATGTCTGTTTGGGTCTTCTGCCCATTTTTGGATTGGGTTGTTCGTTTTTTCAGTATTGAGCTGCATCAGCTGCTTGTAAATTTTAGAGATTAATCCTTTGTCAGTTGCTTGATTTGCAAATATTTTCTCCCATTCTGAGGGTTTTCTTTTCATCTTGTTTATGGTTTCCTTTGCTGTGCAAAAGATTTTAAGTTTCATTAGGTCCCATTTGTTTATTTTTGTTTTTATTTCCATTTCCCTAGGAGAGTCAAGAAGGATCTTGCTGTGATTTGTCATAGAGTGTTCTGTCTGTGTTTTCCTATAAGAGTTTTATAGTCTCTGGCCTTACATTTAGGTCTTTAATCCATTTTGAGTTTATTTTTGTGTATAGTGTTAGGGAGTGTTCTAATTTCATTCTTTTACGTGTAGCTGTTCTGTTTTCCCAGCACCACTTATTGAAGAGGCTGTCTTTTCTCCATTGTACATTCTTGCCTCCTTTATCAAAAATAAGGTGACCATATGTGTGTGGTTTATCTCTGGGCTTTCTATCCTGTTCCACTGATCTATATTTCTTCTTTTGTGCCAGTACCATACTGTCCTTATTACTGCAGCTTTGTAGTATAGTCTGAAGTCTGGCAGCCTGATTCCTCCAGCTCTGTTTTTCTTTCTCAAGATTGCTTTGGCTATTTGGGGTCTTTTGTGTTTCCATACAAATTGTGAATTTTTTTGTTCTAGTTCTGTGAAAAATACCATTGGCAGTTTGATAGGGATTGCATTGAATCTGTAGATTGCTTTGGGCAGTAGAGTCATTTTCACAATGTTGATTCTTCCAATCCGAGAATATGGTATATCTCTCCATCTACTTGTATCATCTTTAATTTCTTTCCTCAGTGTCTTATAGTTTTCTGCATCCAGTTCTTTTTTCTCCTTAGGTAGGTTTATTCCTAGGTATTTTATTCTTTTTGTTGCTGTGGTAAATGGGAGTGTTTCCTTAATATCTCTTTGAGATTTGTCATCATTAGTGTATAGGAATGCAAGAGATTTCTGTGCATTAATTTGGTATCCTGCTGCTTTACCAAATTCATTGATTAGCTCTAGTAGTTTTCTGGTAGCCTCTTTAGGATTCTCTACGTATAGTATCATGTCATCTGCAAACAGTGACAGCTTTACTTCTTCTTTTCCCATTTGGATTCCTTTTATTTCTTTTTCTTCTCTGATTGCTGTGGCTAAAACTTCCAAAACTATGTTAAATAATAGTGGTGAGAGTGAGCAACCTTGTCTTGTTCCTGGCCTAAGTGGAAATGGTTTCAGTTTTTCACCATTGAGGATGATGTTGGCTGTGGGTTTGTCATATATGGCCTTTTATTACGTTGAGGTAAGTTACCTCTCTACCTACTTTCTGGAGGGCCTTTATCATAAATGGGTGTTGAATTTTGTGAAAAGCTTTCTATGCAGCTATTGAGATGATCATACGGTTTTTCTCCTCCAGTTTGTTAATTTGGTGTATCACATTGATTGATTTGTATTTACTGACGAATCCTTGCATTCCTGGGATAAACGCCACTTGATCATGTTGTATGATCCTTTTAACGTGCTGTTGGATTCTGTTTGCTAGTATTTTGTTGAGGATTTTTGCATCTATGTTCATCACTGATATTGGCCTGTAGTTTTCTTTCTTTGTGACATCTTTGTCTGGTTTTGGTATCAGGGTGATGGTGGCCTCGTAGAATGAGTTTGGGAGTGTTCCTCCCTTTGCTGTATTTTAGAAGAGTTTGAGAAGGATAGGTATTAGTTCTTCCCTAAATGTGTGATAGAATTCACCTGTGAAGCCATCCGGTCATGGGCTTTTGTTTGTTGGAAGATTTTTAATCACAGTTTCAATTTCAGTGCTTGTGATTGGTCTGTTTAGATTTTCTGTATCTTCCTGGTTCAGTCTTGGAAGGTTGT